GACTAAGGGATTTATTTAAAAACTTGCTGAAATGGTTTTGTTTAATGCACAGTGACCACAAATGACGTCTGCTTATGATATTCTATTAGTGAAATTTCTGAAGGCTGAAATCCTTTTCTTGAAGGAAAATCTCATAACAAAATACACTAAAAATGAAAGGGTTTTCCTTAAGGTCACCAAAGCTAGCAGGTGCCTTGGGTGTATGACGATTGCTTGGCGAATAGTATGTGGAGGGGAAATTACATGGTCCCTTCTCTGTGTCATTGAGACTGTTGCCTCTAATTTGCATCTAAAAACTTTACCCAAGCAATAAGGAACAAAAAGCCAGATCTCCTAGGGATATCTTTGCTTCAAAAATATTACTAATGGTCAGTTCACTAAATGCCAGTGAGGCAAAGCTAGGTGACTTAAAATGTAACTTCATAAAAAATCTTTTTATATAGAAGTTTCCATAAGGTGCTTTTAGTCACTTTTTTTCAATAAAATTGTAAGATTGTTATAGACCAGGGGTGTCTAAACAAAGGGCCAGTTTACTGTGCTTCAGACTTTTTTTTGGGGGGTGGGGGGCAGACCGTGGCCAGGGAGAGTAGAAAATGCCAGGGGATCTGTTTCGCATTATTGGTGTCAGTTGGCGCAACAATGCTCCATCATTGGTGTCAGTGGAAGAAATGGTGTCCCAACGTTGGTGCCAGTGGGAGGAATAGTGCCCCATTGGTGCCAGTGGGAGGAATAGTGCCTCGTATCAATGGAAGAAATGGTGCCCCAAGGGCCGGATAAAGGTAGACTGATGAGGTGTTGTAGTCAAGCTCAGATCTGAAGAGATAATATACCAATTTAACTAGGTTGAGTGGAAACTGCAAATGGGGACATCTGTTCTGATGACACCTGCAGATGTTCCCTTGTTTATGGGGTGATTTCCTCTCACTTTCTGCTCTCTCAAGTAGAATATGAAAAATATGATTATTGGAGACATAAATGGCAATTAAAGCCTGGAGTTACTCTTTGAGATTCACTTTAATGTTCTGGAGCCAAAAGGTTTAGGAATCAATTGAAAGTTTAAGTAGTCAGAGTGGGACTTTCCATTGACAGACAGAGAAAAGACTCAAAGTTGGGTAGTAGGTATTAAATTTTTATATATTTTTTTGATGCCTAGCTCTTGGGGTTTGAGTTTTGTGGTGAGTCCACATCCCCCAAGTAAACTTTCATACTTTTTTGTCTTCGCAATGATTGCATTACAATGGCCACCTTTTTAATGTACAGACAGCCGATGCACTCGTAAGCTTGGTTTTGCAATCTTCATTCTAGCATGTTGGCCGTTTAGAAGGGCAAGTGGTTGTTGTGCCTGCGGGCTCTTACATTCGTACTTGGTTTGACAGGGCTATTTATTTCGTACAGCTTGTGGTGACTTGTGCATAAATGTCCTCGGGGTTCAGTCACTTGTGGTTTTTAATTGAGCAATGGATTTGGGTTGCAAGTCGTGACCTGCCATTTTGGGGACCTGCTTCTGATGATGATGATTACATTCTTTGTGTTCTGTGCTTGAAAGGCACGATTGCCTCACCTCCCTCTGTGCTGGCAGGCAGCATTTTCCTCTGTAATCTACACAAGTGTCACACACGCACAAAACCTGCAGCAGAGCTGTCAAAAGGTATTTGTGTTTTTTATGCTTCCAGCTCACCGAGCTAGTCCTGCGCGGCTCCATTCCTGTGTAATCCAGTCAGGCAGCGTATTATTATAAAGTGTTTCTATCATCAGGTGATTGAAATAGTTTGCATGAGTTCAAACTCTAATCCTGGTGTTCTTAGTTTTTTTTTTTTTTTTTTCTGTTTATTTCTGAACAAGTGCGATTTCTTAATGCAGGTTGGAAATATCCATGCTCTGCATACAGACTTTCCAGACAGACTGTTTGCAAATGCAGGGGGTGGACAAGGGGGTATTTAACATAAAGGTTGTCATGAGCTATACCCACCAAGGGCAGCAAGATTAGGCAGCACCATACCCCATAATTTACAAATTGTGATAACTTTTTTCCTTTCTTTGTTTCCATCCTGGAGCCCTGTATATCGGAATTGTTTTTGGTGGTTTGTAGTAGAGTCAAAAAAGCAGCTCTCCATAGAAAGCAGATCCCATGCTGCTTCCAGTAGCGCATTCTAGCTTTACGTTTTGCTAAATAAATCACATATGACATAAGAGACGGCATGCAAGTGAAGGGACATTCAGGTGTGCTTGGGTGGGGAACATTATTATTATTATTATTATTATTATTATTCAGTGTTTATAAAGCGCCAATAGTTTGCTCAGCGCTGTACATTACAAAGGGGGACAGAACATGTGACAGAACAATAGCAATACAATGCAAAACATGAGGGGATTGAGGGCCCTGCTCCTTGGAGCTTACAATCTAGGAGGGAGGGGATGGTGGCACAGGAGGAGATAGCTGTAGGGGATGGAGTGGTAGGAAGAGTGGAGGAGGTCGGCAAGTTAGCAGGGGGTGGGGTAGGCTTCCCTGAAGAGATGGGTTTTCCAGGTGTGCCTAAAGGAGAGGAGAGTAGGTGATAATCTGAAGGGTTGGGGCAGGGAGTTCCAGAGGATGGGTGACACCCTGGAGGGCGGGCATGGGAGGAGGAGACCAGGGAACTAGAGAGAAGGAGGTCTTGTGAGGAGCGGAGTGTGCGTGTTGGGTGGTACTTGGATATTAGGTCAGTGATGTAGTTTGGGGCAGTATGGTGGACGGCTTTGTACGTCAGTGTTAGGATTTTGAATTTGATCCGTTGCGCAATCGGAAGCCAGTGGAGGGATTGGCAGAGGGGGGTGGCAGAAACGAAACCGTTGGAAAGGTTGAAGTCAGTATACCATTTGTGCTTGACTGTTCAGCTGTACAGGAGACCTTTGGGACTTACAGGCCCATTTATACTAGATGTTGGTCAGAGGGGAGTTGGGACTCTTCCCATTGTTGTTTTGACCTGGACATGGGCACTTCTGTCGATTGATACTTGGCGGGTAAAGGTTTCTACATGGCTTGACTTGGACTGGAGGGTCCAAAATTTGGTTCAGCAGGTGCGCTGTTGGCCAGTGCACAAATATTAAGCAAGGCTCCACAAGTTCTGATTTTGGTTGCCAAGAGGTTTTGTTTGCATGTGAATGTTTGCAGTATGTTCTCAAATAAAAAGCGACAGATTTTGGTCCGATGCTAAAACTTTTGAAGTTGAATACAGCAGCAGTTATACAGCAAATGCAGACATGAAACCCCAGCTACCATCCTGGCATCCATTATTTTATTCATATCAGAAGTAGGTGAGGATTGAACATCAGCTGTTGATGAGTCACCTGAAAGTAGTTCATATTGCTTTAGGATCCTGCTTGGTGAAATTTTCTCTCTGTAGTTTGTTTCTGCTCCAGCCACACTTAAAGCTTTAACAAGTGTCTTTTGTGTAGGGAAGCATCCTAAATTTAGATTTCTTCTGTATTTTATAGAGAAGCCATGAGGAACGGATAACTTCATGAATTCTGCTAGGGATATCTCAAAACTGGAGCTCTAAGATATAAGAAATCAACGTGTAATCCAGATTGTGAGCTGACAGTTTTTGGTTGACCTTTTTTTAGGTCTTTTTTTTTTAATTTTAGCTTGGTAAGCCAAGGCCTTTCCCTGCTATTGTAATTACATCCTGAATGATGGAGGAATCCCTCCCACAGCGCTATTGTGTTTCGCTGGCAGGGAGCCTTCCCTGTTGGCAGAACACAATGATCACTGCTGGTGGCTATAGCCGTTGGCAGTGATTGCATGAAAAAAAAAATCTGACAGGCTGGTGTTTCTGAAGTCGATTGATTGGATTGACTTCAATATAACCATCCTGTCCATAGATTGATCAAATCTTGCTATTTCAGCAGGGACCAACCAAGATTTGATCTATCTATGGCCAGATTTACTCTTAAACCGGAGACAGGCATTGCCCTGCCCAACATATTTTGAGCCCCATCTGATCCCTACCACTCTCTATCCTGCAGTGGGTTTGAACTCGAGGGGTCTCTTGCTTTTTACCATTATATCACAGATATGCAACACTTCAGTAAGTCTGCATGTAAACCAACCAGAAAGTTGCTTAGGGTTCCTCAGCAGCAGAGGATATAACCGTTGTGTAACCAAACAAGGGCTCCTATGGACTATGTAATGCCTTTTTATTATTAGATTTAAGTCAGGCAGGTGCTGGGACCCCTTCCCACTGTTACAAAGTTTTTTAAGGTCAGTAGGCTTTCTTTGTGATGCTCTTACTCATGGGTGTCCAACCTGTGGCCCTCCAGCTGTTGCAGGACGGACTACAAGTCCCATCATGCCTGTGCATTTGGGAGTCATGCTTGTGCTTGTAACTGTAAACCTTGCAATGCCTCATGGGTCTTGTAGTTCGGCAACACCAGGAGAGCTGCAGGTTGAACACCCATGCCTCTAGTTGGTTTTTAGTATGGTGCATTGCCTGCCTTAGGTGCCCCCAAGACATGCAGTTTCCTCCCTGGCACCATTCAGATTGAACATTGAAGGGGGGTGGTTTACTATCTGACTGACCATAGGTACATATTATTGATACTAAGTTTAGGATAAGGTTATCTATTCCATCGATTCTACATACTCCATTGGCTGCACTTCAAATACCAGCATGCCTTCCCAGACATTGACATTCTCTCTGTAAAAATGATTAGAAAATCCATTTTGACTTATTTGTGTGTAATCTCCAATCTGTAACAACAGAAGCAAGAGTAATTTATGTTTGTATAGGAAAACAATGCAGAGTTTGTTGTTGCGGAGTGTGGGTGTGCGCTTCGATCCAGTTTTACTGCATGCGTGCGATTGTGTTGAAGTTTTTCCACCAACTCCCCTAAATTCCAATCTCTGTAGTTTAACCAGCGTGCATGAAACTTATTTCTGCTGCAGCAGCAATTGCAATCAAAGAGCCTATTCTTCCATGTCCACTAACCTTTTCTTCTTTTCTTTTTTTTCCTCTTTGCAGATCCCTGTCGACCCTGCAGTGACACAGAGATCCTGCTAGCAGTGTGCATTAGTGATTTCGGTGAGTATAAAAAAAGCTGTGCTTTTATTCTCTGGTTATTCTCCATCTAGAATATCAAGATAAAAATTGAGATTGCACGTTCGGTGTGCGATTTAGCATCATTTTTGGGCGGTTCAGCAATTGTTCACTTATATCATTTACACAAGTGGCTATTTTTTTGGCCAATTCATTTGCTGCTCTAACAAAGAAGGCCATTGTGCTTAACCCCTTTGCGCCGGCCGCACACAAATGTGCGGCCTCCCGGCGTCTGGGCCTAGACGCCGAGCGGCCGCACATTTGCGTCCATGTAACTAAATACATATGTGCTGAGAGCGCGCGCCCTGCGCGCTCCCAGCATACATGTGTGGTACTCACGGAAAGGTCCCGGTCCGCTCTTTCGAACGGGACCTTTCCCAATCATGTGACCGCCGTGACGCGTCATCACGGCGGTCACGATTCCTAAACCACGCCCCAATTGCCCCGCCTCCCGGCGTCTGAATCTCTTAAAGGGCCGGGAGGCGTCGGCGGGAAGGGGTTAAGGTAATTGTAGTCATATTGGTGCACTATTGCAACACCACATGGGTGGTGTCTTAATAACTTATTATTATATAGTATTTACATAGCGCAAGAAAGTTTGCTCAGCGCTGTACATTATAGTGGGGGACAGTACATGAGACAGTACAGTAACAATACACTACACGAGGGGTTAGAGGGTCCTGCTCCTTGGAGCTTACAATCTAGGAGGGAGGGGATAGTGGTACAGGAGGAAGTGGCTGTGGGGGGGTGGAGTGGTAGGAGGAGCGGAGGAGATTGGCTGTTAGGTGAGGGGCGGGGTAGGCTTCCCTGAAGAGATGGGTTTTCAGGGTGCGCCTAAAGGTGAGGAGGGTAGATGACAGTCTGGATTGGGGTAGTTAGTTCTAGAGGATGTGGGAAGACCTGGAGAAGTCCTGGAGTCGGGCGTGGGAGGAGACCAGGGAACTGGAGAGTAGGAGGTCTTGTGAGAAGCGAAGAGTACGGGTTGGGTGGTATTTGGGTATCAGGTCGGTGAGGTAGTTTGGGGCAGTATTATGAATAGCTTTGTACGTCAATGTTAGTAGTTTGAATTTTATGCGTTGGGCAATCGGAAGCCAGTGGAGGGAATGACAGATCAATGCAACTCAAGTCACAGTGACAGGAAAAAGGGTTTCTGCGACTTGAGTGTCATAGAACTGCAATGTTAAATCACAAAAGTTGTGCGAATTTGGGGTCGCAGCAGTGTGAATTGAGCCTTGGAACTTATAAAGTATCATGGACATTTCTTAACTGTGTTGTAACCAACAGAACAAAATATTTGTGCTGTTTAATCAAAAGTTTTGCCTGTAGTCTAGCTCTCGTCTCCTTTCTATGACATCACATCCTAGTTTTTTTTTTTTTTTTTTGTGACATCCACATTCCTTACTGTTGGCCCACACTCTTAGGCTAAATGTGCTTTAATGGCTCAGCTGGACTAATATGTAGTCTGGTATCCCTGGAGGTGATTTTGGATCTGTTGTCCTTCACGGGAGTATGTGGAAAGTAAAGGAAAGACGTGGGTGAGCCTTGGCCTTGTTGTTTTGTTTGCTGCCTCTCTGGTAGCAGAGGAAAAGCATTCTGCAAGATGGATTCAGATGAGTTTGCGCAGCACAGTGGCTAAGTGGTTAGCACTTCCCCTTAGCAGCACTAGGGTAATCGGTTCAAACCCCAACCATGGCACTACCTGCTTGGAGTATGCATGTCCCCCCTTTTGTCTGCGTGGGTTTCCTTTGGGTACTCCAGTTTCCTCGCACACTCCAAAGACATGCTGGTAGGTTAGCCCTGCTATGTTTATGTATGCATGTGAGGTAAGGACCTTAGATTGTAAGCAGGGAGTGATATGAATTTAAAAATATGTATGTAAAGCACTACATTGACAGAGCTATATAAGTAATGGTAATAGGAGATGTGCACAATATGGGAGGTTGTCACAGTTGAGGTTTATTGGTTCACCAGTGATAAGTAGAGCGATGCGTTTCGGGAGAAATGCCCTCCACCCTTCGTCATGGCTGTGATGGTTGGTGTGGTTGGGATTGGCCTGGAACCGTAGGTCGAATACGATGAGAGCCCTTTTTAGGTGCTGTGGCCACACCAACCATCACCTCCCTGAAGAGGGGTAGAGGGGCACTTTTCACAAAATGATTTGGTCTACTCATCACCTGTAAATTCCAATAAACTTTTTTAAAATAACCAAGTGTGATGACCTTCCATATCGAGCGTGCCCCTACATCCATCCAAATCACACTCTCTTAAGTTGCCTTGAGAGTACAAAAATAGGAAAAGGGAAATGAGCCATTTAAAGTAGAATGCAATGAAAAAAAAAAATCCAAAGGCGATGTGGACCCTAACCGTTTTATGTCAATATATACCATAAACTTGTAGACCATCCAATGTACGTTGGCACAGCCACTTGTAGCCTCCACTGGAAGAACATGCGACAGGGTGGCTACGCAGGAGCACAACTGGGAGACAGGGACAGTGAATTGTCACCCTATAACCGGCAATAAATAAATAAGGACCTTTATGTCAGGATTATAGAATATTATTTAAATGCAAATTGAAAATTTGAAGATATTAAAAGTGACTTTTGAAATGACAAAATTATAGAATTTTTTTAAAGATTGCAAAGATATTAATATAACTTAATTTTTTTCTGTTTTTTTTCTTTTTTAGTTGTCAAAGGTTCTATCAAAGAAGTAACCACTGACATTGAACAGCAGGAATCCATCATTTCTGTTTCCATCAACAGACTTGACCGACAGAAAAGCAAAATTTTCCAACCCAGCCAAGAACACAGAGGTTGGGAAGGGAAGATAAGGACGCCTTTGGAATGTGGCGTCAGAGCAGGACTGGGGGAGTTCTTGTTCACTGGACGAATGCACTTTGGGGAGCCCCGATTGGGCTGTGCGCCGCGGTATAGGGACTTCCAGAGGATTTATCTAGAAGCAAAAAGTAATGGATTAAACCCATGCGAAATTAACACGGATTGAAAGACCCAAGCACTGCCTGGCCCGAATTTTGTAGACTCTTCTACCTTTCGAATGTTGGGACTGTAGTTTTAAAGGACAGCAAACACTTGGAAGGATTACAAAGACTTTTTTTTTCTGTATAGAAGTGGCTGAAGGTCTACCTGTCCACCGACGTAAGCTGTTACACTAAAGTGTTGGAGGTACGAAATGGGCCCGGCCCAAACTTGCCACTGTACAAGACATTTTGAGTCTTACGTCGCAAACCTAAGTTATTATTTTTTCTTAAAGAGTTATCGAAAGTCTTAAACCGAAGAAACTGCCTTTTTTTGGTATTACTAATATTTCATGACCCATAAAACATCAAAGTTGTAGCAATCCCAACGCAGCATATTTTGTATAAAATGGATCATCGAGCAAGGACGATGTTGTATTTTTTTTTTTTTTAACATGCTTTGTAAAAAGCTTGGTGTACATTTTGTCTGAGAATGTTTCTTATGAAAGAAATGTTTGTGAATAATTTGTTTGTTTTTTTTTTTTTTTTTAAAGTTTATTGTGCAATTGCGATCTGCCATTTTGCGCAGGTCTGTTGATTGTAGGTTTTTTTTTTTTTTTTCCATTCCAGTGAAATAAAGACCTGGAATTTGTGTGTGTTGTGCTTTCTATTGACTTTTATTGTGTGTTCCTAATGAAAACCAGTACTGAAAGAAATTTAATGTAGGAAGACCACCTCCTGAACATGCCAGTTGCCAGGCCAGTCTCTGATTTCAGTAAATCGGTGATCCCAAACTAATATGGAGAAAGTGAAGCCACATTATTAGACCCCTTCATAAGCTACAAGCTCAATGATTCCCTTTAAAGACTTTAGACCACGTATGTCTAATACAAGGTCCACGGGCCTTGTCATGTGGCCCTCACACCCAGTTTTGCAGCCGGAACGTGGTGGAACTCCCAATTCTGCCACCTTTGGCTCTCACCCGCCACTGCCCGCTGTCACTTGTAAACATAGAAGCCTTCCATGCTTGCAAGGGACAGCTTTGCTCTGTGTCTCCCGGCTCTAACAGATCTGTGCACGCACTCAGAGGGGACAGAATATAATAGAGAGTACAGTCTCCTTGCAAGGCGAGGCAAAGCCACCTACACAAGGAGGTACTAGCGCCGGCTAGGTAGGAAAGAGTAGAGATGCGAGGAAGTTTTGGGGGGGTTGGGGTCGCACAATCTGCATAGTGTACCCCCCCTAACTCTGTACGTAGCGCACCCCTGAACTCTGCACTCTGTACGTAGCGCACCCCTGAACTCTGCACTCTGTACGTAGCGCACCCCTGAACTCTGTACGTAGCGCACCCCTGAACCTTGCGCTCTCTATGTAGCGCACCCCAGATACAACTGGCCCTTTGAGGGCAATCACACTGCTGATGCGGCCTGCAATGAAATTGAGTTTGACACCCCATCTTTACACCAACGGTTTTCTTGTTTTCACATCTTTCTCTCTTGACAGGAAGAGAAGGGACCCTCTCCATCCTTCCCAATAGGGTCACAGGCAGCAAACAAATCTGACAGAAGCTCTAAGGTCGGCCATATATGGTTCAAATCTTTGCCAGTTCCACAAGGACCATGTATGGGCAGGCTGAATGTACCCAACTTGATTGGTCAACTTGAGTACAACCAGCCTGTCAGATTTTACATGCAATTATGGCTAACGGTGATTTTAGCTGCTAGCAGTAATTGGTGTGGGTCAGCTCTACCTGCCGGGAGAACAAAGACTTCGCAGGAGGGATTCCCCCATCAACACAGTTGATGGGGGAATCCGAGCAATTTTTTTTTTCCTTTTCTTTCATGCAACCTGAAAGAAAATCTCTCCTGTCTATGGTTGGCTTTGCTCTCTAACTAAAAGTTTTGGCTGCAAAAATACCTAAAAAGGTATAAAAAATATGTGAGCGTGCTAAAAGGCAGCAGCTATGCACAAAAGGGAACCAAAATAAAACCTCAATAAAAATGGTAAATGGTGCAGTGCTAAAAAATGGAAATAAATAATCTTATATGGAAGCAACTTATCAAATGCAATGAACGAGGTTGATGAATACCCAATTGATAAATAATAAGTTCAAAGGTGACTATAGTGCTCTCCTACGGATGAGAATGGTGCTGTGCAGGGCGGACAAGCGGCGCTCCTCTGGTCAGTTGGTCTCTTGCTCCTCTCTCTGTCTCTTCCATATAAGATTATTTATTTACATTTTTTTTTTAGCACTGCACCATTATTTACCATTGCAAAAATACCTGACTTGGTATCAGTCTCTTTATAGTTCTTGTACAGCAGAGCTAAGACTGATAGAGGGCTTAGCAGCACAAGGGAACCAATTAGCTGTTTTTCTGCTTATGTGCAGATACGGCACATGCTGATAGAAGTGCACAAAGTGACGGAGATGAGCTCTTCATTCTGCTGCTTTTTTCTTTTTCAATGTCCAGTCAGAGCTTGAGGGAGGGAATACACCTGTAAGTGTTACTTACCTGCAGCAGAGAAAAACTCTGGTCTCCTGCCTTGCCAGATGTCCAAGTTCTTTGGCAGATAAGACCGATCCCTTACACGTATTTTTAATTTTTGTTGGGCTGTTTGCCTGGAGTAAGAAGTGATCTACATCTTGGTGTAGAGATCTTTTATGTGTGACATATTTGCTTAGTGTGGATAAACACAACCTCTGATACTCCTGCTGAACATCAAGTATATTTTTTACTGTTCTTGTCTGACCTGCAGTAGTGGGACTCCTGATGGATTACTATGAGAAGCACAGGCAGCCCCGCTCCCTTCCTCCATTATATAATGTGTTATACAAGGTTTATTTTGCCCTTTTAGCGGATTACACCCATCTAGGTCTATGCAAATCACGTTTATTTGAATTAGAAAATTCCAGTAAAATCTTAACAGCTGGTACAAATCTAATTGCATTTTCATATGCAGGTTGATCAGTATCTCCTGATTCCAGCGGTTATATGAGCCCATTTATACCATAATCATGTCACATTGACATCACATGCTATGGTGTTTTTTTTTTTTTTTCTCCGACATGGAAATTGTAAATCCCACGAGGCCTGTAGTGTGAACTGAATCTCTTGTTATGAAATGGACCTGTCCCTTGACAAAGTATTCTCTTTCCTATATCCATTAAAGAATGATGGTCGCAGTGATTCAGGGCACTCTATTTGACCTGATGACCATTGTCATAGGAAGTGGGGGAGAAAATCCACAACGTTGGGTGGTCACCAGAACAGGAATAGAGGGGAAATTTTCCAATGGATAAATATTTTTCTGGGGACATCTAAAGCTTGGCCATACATGAATTGAGTTTCATCCATTTCCTGTAAATCAGATGATCTTTGACCCATGCATGACGTTGCCCACACCACCCGGCTCAACAAACTTTGAATGAGAAATCAAAGGAGCCAGGTGGAAAAATAAAAAGTTGACTACTCAGCAACTGTACCCAATCAGCTGCAGTCTATGGGGTTGATTTACTAAAACTGGAGAGTGCAAAATCTGGTGCAGCTCTGCATAGAAACCAGAAAGACAATACAGCAACAATACAGTTCAACACAAGAGGGTTAGGAGGGCCTGATCCTGGGAGCTTACAATCTAGAGCTTTTTAGTAAATCAACCCCACTGGGTATATAGAGAGCTAATGGTGTTGGATTTCGAAATGCAAAGGCTGGCATTGGACATGTTTAGCATGGATGGCGTAATTGATGGATCTGTTTCGCTCAGTTGAACTCTTTACCTGTATGGCCAGCTTAAAGTGTTACTAAACCCAGGACCCAGCATCCACTTTATCTATTCTCCCACAGTACACAGAAATGCAATTATCTGAGTAAATATAAACTGCTAAATACCTTTTCTCATCAGCAGTATATAGCAGTCTTGTGGCTTCTATCAGTGTCCAGCAGAGCACTAGCTAAAGCTTGTGGGAGGAGTTTTCTTTCTGTTCTAGGAGGCTGCAAAACCCCTGACCTCTGTCTGACCAATGCTGATTGTCCCTGTACTGATCACATGCACTCTCCCAAGAAAAAAAAAAACTCTTTAGCAATAAACACCAAACGGAGCATGTGCAAATGCCTATGGTTCAGTCTCTCTTATCAGGAAATAAGAGGTGGTCGCTTGAAAAAGGGGAGGAACAGAGAAGAAAGAATCAAAAGGCCTTTTTACACAATGAAGATTAACCCCTTAGGTTCCACAGTGAGTATAACAAGCACGCTTTACTGCATATACAGGCTGATTTTACTGTTGTGGGTTTAGTAACACTTTAAAAGGGGATTTTGCTCACTTTGGAGAAGTTGGAAGGATTTCCTCTCACCTCTATTTCTATCTCTGCGACAAAGAAAGTGAAGTGAAATTGTACTGGGCTGCTGGAAGCGTGGGGATGTCATGGTCTTAGGCCTTGATAGGCTTAACAGCTGGGAACTCTCTTTGCTCCCATATGACAGCGTTGGGTGATTGAGCAGCAAAAAATGTGACGACACCAGAAAGGTTAATCACATTGTTTTCCCCCATACATGAAGGCAGCCTTCTGACTTATGATACATTAGTGTGATGGTCAGTATGAAGAATGCTCCTTACACTTGTGGTCATTGGAAAGACCTGCCCCATTACCTATATCTTAAAAGGTCATTGGTGTAAGTGGGAACTCAGCTGACAGACCAATTTCTTATTGCTCAAGAAACCCCCTGTAACTTCTGGAAGAACCCTGATTGAGAAACTCTGCATGAAGGTATCAAGTATTTTCCTTGCTCCAAGTGGTGGGAATGAAACCAAGGGAAGGTAAGTATTTGATGATGCTACCCTGTCAACCTGTTACTTTGCGCTATGTGAGCCAAGTACAGGTTGGCTTGCAGTTAAAATTTAAGGAGTTGTGTTTCTTTCCGTAAGAATATTAATGTTTGGGGTTAGGGCATGTATAGAAATTCTATAATCATTATCTATTGAGTGGTGAAACCCCTCCATTGACCAATACTAGCAGTGGGCTCTTGATACTGAA